GGAAAATGGGGTCTAGGTTTGGCGTTCAACTTGTTGTAGGCGTGTACAATGCGCCGCTTCCCTTTGGGTTTGGGAACGCAAAACCTTGGCGCACTGTGGGGAGATTTACTCTCTCTCTCGCCCACCCCTGTTGATGTTTAGCAGAAAAGAATTAGACGAATTGCTCAGCTGTCAATGGCCATTAACGCAATATCAGATATCATGTACCTGGCACAATCTCGATCTCGTGTGTATACCAAGATCTGGCGGAACGCCGCGTGGGAGCTCCGGACTCAAACACGCTGACGTGTACCTGAACGCAAGGGCGAAATAAGGATCGCACGGATTCTTGAGAAAAATATTTGATCCGCGTCGCGATTCAAATTGCTGGCGAAAATCTTCGACAACACTTGGATCCAGGACAGAGGACATATCGTCGCTGCGCTTGCACGACGAAACATAACGACTTCGGCGAAAGCGCAATACTTGATATCTTCAAAAAAATTGGAGAAGGTTTGTACTTCCAGGCTTGTAAGGGCAGATATTTCTGGCAGTGGGGCCATATAAGGCTGGACGGATAATCCCGTCACTGCGTTTGCTGCTGAACCTTGTGGCTTTTACGGTAGAAATGCCTACAGGGCGTTGTTATTCATCTTGTTGGCTCCCACATTATATTCTTATCTTCTGAAGCTTTAGCTTCCATGATTGTTCGAACTATCGGAGCACGTCATGCTCCGATAGTAGCGTTAGCTACTGGATTCTCTATCTTTACATTAGTGTACTCTACTGGAGTATATGGTATAGCGTTGGCTATTGGAGCTGTTGCTTCCGCAGAAGATTTACCTATTTAAGCATAAAGGTAGTGTCAGAAATAACCTCAAAATAAAAAAAATCAATTGTAAAGCAAAATAAATAGAATATTTTTGCCCATGAATGGATGATCATTTTATCTGAAATGTGTCACCTATCGGTTTTCGCTACATAATTTACTGATTAAACAGTAAAGTAGCAAGTCATCAATAAAAATAGGTTGTTCATTATGTTATTTTGTGCTCCACACATTTAAAAGGCTTTAAAGATTCGACTATGAAAGAATCAAGTTGGTATAGTAATTATAAATTGTGTCACTTGTAAGTTCGGTTGACAGTGCAGCTTTTTTACCGAGCACGATTCGATGTAATTTTCTCTTAATGGAAATAGTTACAAGCTCTCAAGTAAAGGTATAGAAGCACCGTGAATTGGCCTTGAGTCACCATGTAATATTGCCACTGAGCGAATGAGTAATAAATGATCATTGAAAATTGAACTGGAAGTATCCGTCTATAAATGACTAAGAATTACGTAGAAAAGCTTTCTTTATTACAGGGGACTGTGCGTCAATGTGTGCCAGTGTAAAACTGTGAGTTTGTGCAACGGGGCTGCCGTAGCATTGCGCTTTGAGGATGCGTAACTTCGGTCACCGACCTTTCGATCTATACTTAGAACAAGTACGAGTTTAGCGGATCGCAATCCGCTTACTCCAAGAGTAACTATTGCCTTAACCCAAAGCTAATTACTACTCCGCTTGAAATCCAAAACTGATTTTTATTTATTTTTATCTGCGGCAAAGCCGCCTAATTTAAATGAATAGATTTTCCTAAATATATATAGTAAAATCTAAATACATGTATAACTACTAGCTAGCCAGCCACATACCGTATTCTTGTTTGGGTGCAGTCGCATCATGCCCATCTCGTGTGACACACACACCTTTACCTGGGTACGTGTAACCCCCGTTACAGTTTGTATTTGAGACACGGTTGAATATTACATTGGAGCATGTATTATTCACTTGAAAGAAGAGTGATGCGTAATGACGTTGCGCGTAATGTAGTTAAAGCAGGTGCATGACGTATCTCAATGTGCTGATTGTCGTGTTTCAATAAAATATGCGTGTCCAGAGGATGTAGCTCAGTTGAAAGTTGCTATGTATTATCTTTTTACGCGGCTATAACTACTCGGCCCTGACTAAGATTGTACATTGCTTTTCTCCAATGGGGTATTTTCTTTTGATTATTGTCTTGTACGAGTCGCCATCCCGAAGCTCATTCTTGGCTGGTGTCGGTAATATTTAGCATGCAGTAGACATTTTTTAGATGTCTGGTTCGATTTTGTCCGCTGAGGGGCTCGAACCCGCATCACACACCGTGAGGCCTAAGAGCATTGACCACCAGACCCACGCCACCAGGTCAAGAGGATGTAGCTCAAATGGTAGAGAACTCACTAAGCATGCGAGAGGTACAAGGATCGATACCCTGCTTCTCCAGGCAGGGTATAGTGGTCAGTACCTCACCTTGTGGCGGTGATATCCCTGGTTCGTATAGTGGTCAGTACCTCACCTTGTGGCGGTGATATCCCTGGTTCGATTCCGGGCACGCGCACTCTAGAATTCTTGATGTTGTTGCTTTACCTTTGCGACTTGTCTATGAGATAAAGTTTACGGCTTAACTACACCCTATTTACTCGCCTCATATCTTGTGTAAGATATTTATTACGTGCTAACATCTTAAAATAGAAATTCCTGAATTCGAGGGTTTCGCTGTCAGTCATTAATACTTAAAAGGCTATCTATCAAATATTATTTTGC